CTCTCTCTCTCTCTCTCTCTCTCTCTCTCTCTCTCTCTCTCTCTCTTGTGTTAGCTCTTAGTCTCGTTGATTTGGCTACCTTAGGGCTGCGTTCCCCGCGCCCACGCGGTAGACAATTTCAAGGACCTGCGGCCCCCACGCCGTTTCAAAATATTTTAGACCACGGCCACCTACCGGTTCCCAGGAAAGTGCCACGGGCAAATACCGGTCCTGCATTTGCTTGAACTGCGCCCCCCCCCCAAAATGCCAGTGCCTTTAATTTAAACAGCCTTTGAATGACGAATGGGCCCGAATGAACGACCGGTATAACGAGCGACGACGAAAATGTCTCAGGGGGGGAAAACTCAACCCTGACGGGCTGCGAACACCTGACGCAGACGCCGAAGCCCACTATACCGCAGCCTTAGGGCTGCAAACAAGTCCGCTATCCCGCGGCCTTCTTGCTCTCTCTCGTTTTTTTTGTTTTTGGAAGAAACATCAGATGGGGCAGGGGCCCTTGTTGCTGGCTACGGTAGGGTGGTAAGAGCAGCCCTGTACAGCAGGCCCCCTCTGGGTGATGGCTCCAGTGGATTGGTGGGGAGCAGCACCTGCTGGAAATGGGGTCCAGCGTCCCTTGATTGGGTCTGTAGAGTGCTTTTTCCTTTCTTCCAGGAGACTCGGAGAAGACTCAGAGGAGGAGGAAGGAGCGGATAGGAAGAGAGAGAGAAGAGAGAAAAAAACGTTCTCAGCTCTGTTTGCGGGGAAACCCTCCTCTTGCACTTACTTATTGGGCCTCGCTCCACTTCTCTAAACATGCACAAACTTGATTGGCTCTGTAGAGTGCTTTTTCCTTTCTTCCAGGAGACTCAGAGAAGACTCAGAGGAGGAGGAAGGAGCGGATAGGAAGAGAGAGAGGAGAGAGAGAGAGGGGAAAACGTTCTCAGCTCTGTTTGCGGGAAAACCCTCCTCTGGCATTGCACTTACTTATTGGGCCTCGCTCCACTATAGTCTAATCATGCACAAAAGACAAAAATCATGGCGCTGTATCTTCCCATTTTCTAGCCGAAGATTCACTCTCGTTTTGCACATGTCAAGGAGTAGTGGAGCGAGGCCCATTCTTCTTCTTGCGTGGGTCTCACAGTCTCAACTTACCAATCATCAAGTACTTGTCAGTCAGTGCCTTCGATCTTCCTCCCCCCCCCCCCCTTACAAAAAAAAAAAGGATAGAAAGTTGCCCCGAAAAGAGCCAATGTACACTCCTGACCCCCCGCGCGTTCTATTCGGCGGCGGCGGTGTAAGCTAGATGCGCTGACATGCCAATCAAGAGCCAATTGCTTTCTTTGTGAAATGCGCTGTCATTAGTGTCGAACGCTCGTTCTCGTTTCTCGCTTCATGTGCGTGTAATCCTTGATGAGTGGGCAGGGGGCGTGTTAATCGTCTCTTTTCCTTTTTTTTTTTTTTTTTTCTATAAGAAAAGAGGATCCGCTCATTACCAATAGAAAAATCGTCTCTCTTCCATCCCTGGTTCCAATTTTAACGCATGTACTGAAGGACCACTCAAGTGCTGATTGATCATCAATTAAGGACTACGGTCTTCACTCAAATAGAACGCCCCGGTCATTATACGGATGCATTTCGGGCAACTTTCTGTCTAGGCGTGCAGAGCGATAATGAGCGAGCGTTCTATTGGGGTGAAGACGGTCGTTGTAGATGCTCGTAGGTCATTATACGGATGTATTTCGGGCAACTTTCTGTCTAGGTGCAGAGCGATAATGAGCGAGCGTTCTATTGGGGTGAAGCGGTTTGTCTGGTTTCGAATCCGCGACCCGCCGATCATTGCTACCTTCTTCGCCCGAATAGAACGCCCGGTCATTATATCTGTATTTGGCACAACTTTCGGTCCAGATGCAGCGATAATGACCGGGCGTTCTATTCGGGGGAAGAAGGGTAAGTTTCAGATTCTATTATAGGTCAATCAAGATCCAGGCGATTTCGAAGCCTCAACTCACCGATCATCATCAGCTAATTGCTAGTCTCACATTTAGATGCGTATGGCAGGTCAATCAATCAAGAGCCAGCCGATCCCTGTGTGAATTGCAGGAATGGCTGTCTCCGATGATGACAGCCGCTGTTACTGATTGCTTTGAGCGATTTGCCAATATGAGAGGTCATACTGATCATCAGCCTAGGATTTCCTGAGTGAATCTGGTCGTTTTGGAGGTCAAATACGTCCATCAGAGTCCTGGTATGAGTTTGCCCAGAAAGCGACCGGGAGTATGTAAACCTCAACCGGATTCATCAGCTGGCCTGCCACCTAAAAACACTCGTCGGGATTGATTAGATCGATCACCGCATTAATCAGCCGCCAACGGACAGTCATCAGTGGATTGATTACATTGATTAGTCAGTGGATTGATTAGATTGATTAGTCAGTGGATTGATTAGATTGATTAGTCAGTGGATTGATTAGATTGATTGGATTGATTAGATTGATTAGATTGATTAGATTGATTAGTATGAACGAGGTGGCGCGTCGTGTCGCTCGTGCGTGAGAAGAAGGTCATTGCGGCGTCATGAATACGGATGGAGAGTCGTCTCATATCTCCTCCTCTGCCGCTGAGAGGTCATCGCCGAGTCTGACGAATGGCTTGTTGTGGGAATCGCCATCGTCTAGATCATTGCCGTCCTCCTCCTCCTCTTCCTCCTCCTCCTCCTCCACCTCATCATCATCATCATCATCGTCAACGACCTATCAGCAAAGAGCCGCTGTAGTGGAAATGAGAGGGAATGCAGGAGGAGGTAGGGGGGGAGGAGGGCGAGGAGCAGGAGGAAGGGAAGGAGCAGGCAGGGGACAAGGAGTAGGAGCGGTAGTAAAACGTGGGGGAGGAGATGGGAGAGGAGGAGTAGGAGAAAGTGGAGGAGGAGAGAGAAGAGAGAGGGAAGAGAGAGGAGAGAGAGGAGAGAGGGAAGAGAGAGCACAGAGAGGACAGAGAGGAGACGAGGGAAGAGGAAACATAGAGGAGAGAGGAGGAGGAAGTAGATTGAAGACCGATCGGCAATCTCCGAGGGAGCTCAGTGCTGACGTGGAAAGGCCACGTCATCGTCGACGTTGGGGGTGTCAATTTCACAAATGGCATGGCTGTGTGATCAGCCTCAAGCAGATCACGACCATGTGGAAAGATCTTATCTTGAAGGCGATATTTTGGCGGGAAATCGTTTGGCACGACATAGGTTGGCGCCATTTTCGTGTGCTCGTGTTGATTGCCTGGCTGCTTGCGTGGGTAGCTACAGCAGCGATTGCCATTAGCTATGTTCATCAGGCAGAGGACAAAAAGAGGGTGGAGACAGTAAGGAGGAGGTGTTTTGAAGTCGCAAGCGGAATTGGGCACAGGTTCCAGGTGGCTGTTGGGAGTGCAGAGACGTTTAGAGAGGTAATCCAAATACACAAATGGAAGACCGACCACCTGTGGATGAATGTGGTCAGGTTCTTGAATATATTGGAAGTGACAAAGTGGTCTAGACCTCATGCTTCCAGAGTGCTATACACCGAGATCGTCTCAGACAACGAAAGGGAAGCATATGAGATCTCCTCAGGCGTACCAATACTGGATTCAAATCTTCATCCCGCCAAGCCAAGGGAGACCTATATGCCCGTCGATCTATTCTCCCTAGAGATGTATTATGCTCAAGGCCTCGATATGCTAACAGGTATCATCATCATCATCATCATCATCATCATCATCATCATCATCTCTCTCCTACTCTCCTACCCACTTCTTCATTCTCTCCCTCTCAACCCGCTTTCTCTCTCTCTCTCTCTCTCTCTCTCTCTCTCTCTCTC